ACAGTGGGAGGCACTCATACGGAAGAGCTGAGATGATGTGAGGGTGGAACTAAAGAAGACATAACACCACAGCCGCAGGCAGTGCCCTTTCAATGTCTGCCAGTCGTCTTGGGTCTGTGGGTCTGTCACTCTTATAAGATTATCTGTGAACTGGGATATAAAACTAGTGAGTAATTATGAGATAGTCAAATCTGGTATCACTTGTATGGAGTATCAAGTCTTGAATTCAAGAGCGAATACACAGAAATGTCACACAGGAAAAGCAAGCAAACTTTCCTGAATCTAAATAGAAAACTATCAGAGTCAGCTCAGGTAAAGTTCCATAATAGTGACCATCTTGGTAGCAATGAACAATGCTGAAATTCTGATTATGTGCCTGAAAAAAAGTATTTCTGAATAAATGCATCAAGGCTGCTTGGAGAAAGTACTGTTGATTTGAATAGAGAGTACACATAATTGTGGAACACCTTGTCATTTCTGAGAGCCAAGAAACTGTGGCAACAGCTGCTAACATCATGCCAAAAGAAATTACAGGCCAACAGACAGTTGATCAGTCAACCTATGATAATAAAAGGAGCGTAGAGTTGAGGGAAGAAGAGGGGGACTTTTGAAGGAGTTGGAGGAGATAGAATGTGATCAAAATATATCACATTAAATTATCAAGCAATAGACAACAACATTAAAAGCAGCAATTGTAATGGAATAAAATCCCCAACAATTGAATGTCTTACCTTGAGCTCATAGTGATACTCTTTTGTAGTGATATACTACTTATGATTTATTAAAGCTTGCCTGAGAATTCAGAAAGCAAAGTCAGCCACAAACCATAGAAGCCAGGCACACACTTTTAATTCCAGCAGCCAGAAGCTAGGAGGTGGTGCTACACAACTTTAATTCTCTAGGATTAAAGTTTAGATGGATCTCTTTGAGTCCAAGGCCACCCAGATCTACACAAGATTGAATCAGTCTAAAAGAGAATTATAGCTCACACCTTTAATTCCAGGACTCATAAGAGGCATGTAAATCAATATCAGGTATTTGGTAGGAGACATTCATTCTCCAGCCACACCGAAGAGAGGCAGCAGTTTGAGACTTTTTGAAGAGCTCATTTATGGATCAGCCCCTTCAGCCAAAGCTAGAGGTGAGAGCTAGTGGCTGGCTGCTTTGCTTTTCTGAACTTCAGCTTGAAGCTTAAACCCCAATATCAGTCTCTGGGTCATTTATTCTTCAAGTTACAACTTTAAAGATTATATACAATCTATTAACTATTAAAAACTGGTATGAAAAGGTCAAGTGTCATAAACTTACCTTGAGTGTTTTCCCTGTGGACTATACTAGTAGATAAAAACTTATACAGGAGGGGCAGTTAGTTCCCCATGAAGAATCATTTCAATGAAATGCAAAGAAACAACAATTTTGGGAGTACGATGAGTCTATACAACAAACATTAATGCTATTGGTATCATAAAAAGACAAAGGGCAGTATGTGTTTTCTGGTGACAGAACATGACACCAAAGGTGGTCCTGCCAGAGAGATCAAACCAGAGCACAACTTTTGAGACCTTCGGATCAACCATTGATTCACAGGAAACAGAGGAGAGTGAAGACCTGAGAGCCACCCTGCCCATTGCCCTCAGTAGAGCCCATACTACCAGAAATGGCAGTCGAAATGCCACCATTCCTTGACTAAAAGACTTTTCTAAAAAAAAAAAAAAAAAAAAGCAAGAGCCACCAACCCATTGTAGTGTCATTCCAATCCAAATTACAGTAACTGCAGAAATTGAGTTGAATTTCATGGCTTTTGAGTTCTGTGTTAAAGTGCACAATTTAGGGAATATCAGTCAGTGTGTGTGTGTGTGTGTGTGTGTGTGTGTGTGTGTGTGTTACTGGGGGCTGAACCTAAGATCTCACACAAGCTACAAGATTTCTACTTGATTCAAAATGTGGACATATCTTTGAAATCAAAAGTTTAAGATGCTATTATAAAAAAAACTCTATGTTTTACTTTAACACTTAAATGGAAATTTAGTGTATTTGTTTTTGTTCACCAATTCAGTCAAGGAATTGCCATTTGGTGATTTGAATACGTTAGGTTTGCAAATAAAACTAAAACATCAAAATCTTTCAACTAATCATTTGTTTCCAGTGCAAGCTCTATCTAAATGGGTCCCCTCCATTTCTTCTCATTTTCTACATATTAGGTGCACTTAGATTCAGTATGAGCTGTTACTGACTCCTTTCACTGCTACGGTTTATAAAAATGGTCTGAAACTAGATATTTTTGAAATGGCTCTGTGAAGTGCTTATTTCAGGTGACTAGCAGTATCTTTTGAAGCCAGAAGAGGGCACCGCAGAGCAGTGTAGCGCCGAGATCTTTGTGACAAACACAAAGAATATCTGTGCTAAATGAAAAAAATATAGTTTTACTACCACAGCCAAGGACTAAAGAAATAATTTAAATCTACAAACCTTTATTTACTATGAAAAGAACAGCATATATACAGATACACACATACACACACAAAAGAGAGAGAGAGAGAGAGAGAGAGAGAGAGAGAGAGAGAGAGAGAAAGAAAAAGAGAAAGAGATCTAACATATCAAATGCACATCTTATTTCAGAACAAAATAAAGCTTGATCTGCAGGTCTTGTTTTAGAACAGAAAACATACTGCTACTTCTGCTGCTAATTGTAATGCAATTTCTCAAGGACAACCTTGAACACATGACCACTGCTTTTGCTTTAATTGAGTCAAGTTTATTGTATTAAATAGTGTCCCAGATATGCAGAAGGTGTGTTTGATACCAGCTACTCCATTTCAGGGCAATTGACAAGTGATTGAATTCTAGTTGCTGCCTTATACAAAAGAAAGTTAAGACACACTGTTGGTTTTGAGCATTCCAGTCTTTGCCCTCGTTGCCCACCTTGTGCCACGACTGTACCCTGGGCCTGACTTCTGACTATATCTTTCTAGAGTCAGAGCAGAAGCCCTTCCCTGATAAGACCTTCAGCTGTGACTCCTGAGTAGCACCTTCTTGAGATGTGCTAAAAGCTCAAAGAGTTTGTATCACTTCTTTAGGGGGTGAGAGATGCAGGAAGGTAAAAGTCCTTTTATATGAAAATATACCTTCTAAATAAATAACATCCACTCTAGTCTCTATCAACATGTGATTAATTTTCCTGGGAGTGCTAGCCAATTAAAAAACAATTCAGTTTTTTATTACAAAAAGATAAAATTTTCATGGAAGTAGGTAAAAAGGTCGATTTGTTCAGTGATCCAGCACTTCATTTCAGATCTGCTGGGCAGCATGAAAACTGCATTGCACCATGATGTTACCCAGGTAGTCAGTAGTGATAGCAAGGACTGGTTTATGAGGTTAGAGAGACAGACGGCTAGGTGGGTAAAGTGCTCACTGTGCGAGCTTTCGAACCCGAGTGCAGATCCTTATTAGCCACACAAAATGCTGGGCGTGGCAGTTAGGATCTGTAAGCCCAGTGCTGACGTACAGAATAGGAGAGTCCCCAGGCCAGCCACTCGAGTTCCAGGTTCAGTGGGAGATTCTAACTCAAAAATCCAAGGAAGACACTGATAGAGTAAGATGCTTGAAGATGGGTTTGTAAATGGGAGCTCCTGTCCTGGTCTGCCTTACTGAGTTATTCAGTTCCAGAATTCAAAGACCTGGCTCCTATCTGTCTTTCGTCATCAGTGGTTACCAATATTGTGCCAAGTGGTTAGAAAGAGAATCCGATGGTGGCAGACGAGGGCTCACATTGCCATCACTGATGCCCAATGCTGACTACTGAGTTTGCTCGCTCTTAGTTCTGGGGGGTCTAGCATGGATGGAGCATACCCCCATTCTCTCTCTCTCTCTCCATCTCTCCCCCTCCTCATCTCTTTGAACCATTAGTCCCCTGTAAAGAGGTTCACCAATCTAACAGGCAACCAGTGAGCAGGACAGAACTGAGTTTACCCTCCCAGATGTTTTCTTGTTCCTCTTTTCTGGGATGGCTTTTATCATCATCACCTAGAGGCGAACTTTGGCCTTTCCTCCTTGTCATCTTCCCCTGTCCCTGAAGTTAAAACACCTCATGAACTCATGTTCAGATTAGTATTGGATCACAAACCAGGAACTGGCAGAAGTATAGTGTGGAATGGAAAACATCTCACCAAGCCGTGATGAAGACAGGTTCCATGTGTTAATTTGAACATCCAGTTCTTTAGAAAGTGGAGCACTTAACTTCTTCAGATGATTGACAGGGTCGTGACCAGCAACATACACACCATGCACCATACCATGTGGCATGCAGCCTCATAGTTAGTCAGAATCTCTGCACAAGGTTAAAAAAAATTAACACAGGAAAGAGCCTTGTCATTGTTAAGTGAAATAAGCCAGACTTGGCAAACAAATGCCAGTTTTGTCATACATGCAGCCTAGGTGAAGCAGAAGCAGACACCCACAGCTAAGCATTGAGCCAAACTTCTGGAATCCAGTTGCAGAGAGGGAGAAGAGATGAGCAAAGGGGTCAAGACCATGCTGGAGAAACCCACAGAAATAGCTGACTTGAGCACATGGGAGTATACATACCCCAGCCTGACAGCTGGGGAACCAGCATTGGACTGAACCAGGCCTCCTCAATGTGGGTGTCAGTTAGG